TGTTTATATGCTATTTTTTAAGAATCTTTTTTTTTCAAATTTCCATCAAACTGCACTAATCTAGATTATAAAAATGAGTTATTTCTGTTCATTATAAATAAACAAGAGAACCACCGTTCAAGCAGACGCACAATGTTTCGCCGAAACTGTTTTAAAATTATATCTTTTTCCTTTCGAACTTTAAAGTTATGTTTGAAATACATTTAATTTATTTATATGAAATATGTAAATTATCTGAAATTCCTTTATTTTCAAAGTATGTACAATTAATATGTGAAACATGTATAACATAAAATTTATTGCTAATAAAAAATGTTATCAAAATTTCAGGTTTTATTATATAATAAAACAATACCTCTACTATACTTAAGAAAATATACTATAAATACAAGATATTCTTTCATTTAAAAGTAAGCAAACATTTACTTGCTTTATGTAAGCATTAAAAAAAATTTTTTTTGCTGATGAAAATCATATTTCTTTAGTTCAAAAATATATTTGCTTATCATTAGTTTATGATAGATAATTTATTGTATATAATTTACTTTTTAAAGGAAAATAAATATTTTCTGGAATTAGAGAAACAGCTTTTTAATTAAAAAAATATGTCCTTACCATTATTTAATAAAATACATGTTTTTGTTCTACTTGAACAAAAATTTACTTAATACAATGAATAATTTTTTAAAGCGAAGTACATATTTTTTATGATAGAAAATCTTTACAAACCTATCTTTTAAGATTAAATAAATATTTTCTTAAATTAAAAAAACTTAATTAAAAAAATTATTTCCTTGTTATAAGCTAAATAATGTTATAAGCTAAAATAATTTTTTTATTCTTCTTGAGCAAAGATTTACTTAAGACGACAGATTATTTTGCAAAACAGAAAAAATATTTTTATATTTTTAAAAAACCGTTTTTGGGTTCAAGAATATATTTACTTAAAATTACATCATAACATAATTTTTTGAATCATGTTTAAGGAAATTTGTAGTTAGTTTTAGCAAATATATTTTCGATGCAAACAAATCTATACTTCCATTTAAAATTGCATTCTTCATTATAAAAAAAACATGTACTTAACTTAAATAAATATGTTTGGACTAGAAATTATGTTTACTATATTCCACAAAATATTCTTTCAATATAAACTAATATTTTTTTTAGATAAAATATATATAGTTCAAAAATAAAAAATAATTTGCTTTCAAATATACAAACAAATCATTTACTTCAGTCAAGCAATATTTTCTTGAATATACAAAACTTTTCTCTCAGTGTATATATAATATTAACATTACAAAGGTTTACTGCTCCAAAAATCGCACTTCAGCATTTTCCGGCAAAATGACTGTATTTTTTTACAACTGTACTGGCGTCACTAGTTCAACAAGTACACTAAACCATTTATTATGGTAGAACTAGTGTAAGCGATATTTTTTATAGCAATATAGCGGAACTCAGGGCAAGAGTTTATTGTATTGCATCCGCTAACTTTGAAGTCAATGCAAACAATGCGAAAACGTCCAAACGTTAAAATAGCTGTCAAATACAAGTCTGATATCTCACAGAGTAAGAAATAAATAAACGGTATATATGGAAGTACAGTTTAATACCAATTATTGCAACGTTGAGTACAGCTGCATAACATGAAATTTGAAAAAGTTCTTGCTTTCAAACAGGTTAAAGTGAACAAAAAATCCTTTTACAACTTTCAAAATAACCAAGTAAAATTCTGAGTAATTAATGAAAAGAGATTTAGGAAACCAGCGCGCGCGGTCGCGTCAATAGACTCCACTTCATATAACTAAGTGCAATGCAAAATAAGATCACTGTAGTAAGTAAAAAAAACTTACCTTCTCAATGGAATACGTCACGAATACAGGAAACAATAGTATGAACGAGAGATAACATGACTCGCTTTCACTGATTCGAATCAACTGAAGAGTGCCTAGGAATAACGCTATACCTGTATCATTCACTGAACAATATTTATATACAATACATACCAACGTAGAAATATTGTTACTAACAGTCCACCAAAACAAACCGAACAATACAATACGAAGCACTATTTACACCGTCGCTTCAAGCTTCCATCTTGCTTTCGACGTACGACATTTTTTTCTACGCGACTACGGAGCGCCGAGCGCCGTGTTCACTACAAAGATTAAGAAATAATTTTGAAATAGCCGCTGAAACTCTGCCTAAATTTGATCGTACGAACTAGAACTCTATTAGAACTGTCGAGAATTGTCTACAGAACTGCAAGAAATGGTCAGCGCGACATTTTCTCTGGAAGTGGTGTGCTAAGTTCGAAGTTTAAAAAATGATTTAAAAACTGGTAGACATCGAAATTCTTCCTAAATTTCATTGTAGGCACTAAAACTCTGTTAAAACTGTCGAGAACTGTCGTTAAAAGTGCAAGAAATGTTCAGCACGACACCTTCCCTTATAGAAATATCATACTAAGAATCATTGATAATTACTTATTTTCAGTATTAAAATACTGGATAATAAGTAATTATCAATGATTCTTAGTATGATATTTCTATAAGGGTTTTCCGAAAGTGTCGCGCTAACTTCGAAGATTAAAAAATTATTTAAAAATATGTAGCTACCGGAACTCTTCTTAAATTTGATTGTAAAGATTAGAATTCAGCTAGAACTAACGGGAATTATCAATAGAACGGCCAGATATGGTCTGCATAATGTTTTCTCTCGGAAGTGTCGTGCTGAGTGTAATATTCAAAGTTTATAAAAAAGGTGTAATTGTTGAAATTTTTTTTCTTAATTGAATATTTTAATAGAACTCGATCAGAATTGTCGGGAACTCTTGCTAAAAGTAGTGATATTTATTTATTTCTTGTACTTTAGAGAGGGGCGTGTCGTGCTAGGTTCGCGAAGTTAGCACGATAATTTTTCTTTTGCTGTTTTTCGCTATTAAAAATGCGGAATTCTTTTTATTTTCTATCTAGAACTCTAGAACTATGAAAAGTGCTAATAGAACTGTCATTGTTTTTTAAAAATTTGTAAAACGTCGTGCCAACTTCACAGACACGGGAGCGTAGCTCCCGAGAATCGGCCGAAATGGGCAAACAATTCCGTGCTCTGCTCTATAACATATTTAAAAAAGAAAACAATCGGAGGTATGTACCTTTTTATGCAGTTTTACCAAAGATTTAATATATTTTTGACTTGTAAGAAGCGAAGTCAATCTTTAGCTAAAAATGAGTGAACAAATAAATTTATATTTAATAGGCGTTAAGTTACGAACAAGAGAAAGTACATTAACATGGCTGTCTAAAAGAATTAAAACTAATACCAAAATCAAAGATATATAATAAACGTAAAAGTGTTATGGTTTTGCAAGAATTGAGACATATATGTGGAATGTTCTGTTGTAGAAAAATCGGTAAATATAATCATTCCATATCAGTTGCAAAGAACACATGGTTTGAAAGATGTCACATTACAAAAATGTACGATTATTACATATTGTTTTGCTGTCAATTGTTCGATGCAACAAGCAATCCGTGAATGAAGTTTTATTAATAATGAACCAACATCAACAATTGCAGGTCGATATTCATATTGTAGAGAAATATGCATGTTATCTTTAGATAAAAGTTATGATGAAGAGGATTATATTTGTCCATTTTTGGATGGTCCAGGTAAAATTGTTGAAATCGACGAATGTAAAATAGGCCGAAGAAAGTACGAACAAGGACGCGTTGTTGAAGACTCGTGGATACTACGCATTATTGTTCTCCAGAAATATATAGACTTGAAATATACCCAGACAATAAAAGGAATGCAAACACTTTAACAAGTTTAATAAAAAAACATATGGTACTAGGTACTGAGATACATACGGATTTATGAAAAGGACATCAAAAAATTAAATTAAATGGATCATATTTACAAAAGTCAATCACTCCAAAGAATTTGTTAACGACGAAACAGGAGTGCATACACAAAATATTGAATCCTCATGACGTGCAATGCAAAAATTTTTAAGTTGAGGTGGTACTAAGTAAGAAAATTTGGCAGAACATCTATGTGAATTTCTTTGGCGTCATAATATCGCACATGCAAATTTGGATCCGTTTAATAAATTTATCGAAGATATAAGAAAAATATATTCTGGTTGCTAAATCATATAAAATAAAAAAATATTCGAAAAATTTATTTATACAGTAATTTTGTTTATTCAATATTTATTTATTATCTATTTATAGACTTAGGCAAATATATCAGCAATTTCGATTAGGAAAGACGACGAAAAACAATTTGTTTTCATTCGAATGACAACACAGTTTGACTGAAAATCTTAACATAGGAAGACGTTTCATAATATACTTTGTATACGACTCTTGACAATAAGAAAGGATATAAGCAAATATGCGAATACTGAGTTGGAGCTACGTACATACATTCATGTTTGTATAATGTGTGTAAAATATATATATTAGTTACTTAATTACAAAGTAGTTACTTAATTACAAAATGTATTATATATGTACAAATAATAAAAATATATAAAAAAATAATTATATAATAATGTATGATGTACAAAAATGATGAAAGAACCGGAATGTTCTACAGAACAGAATGGAACTAACCTTAAATACAATACCCTTAATAGTCAATATATGATTTAAATCTTGCTTCCGACAAAAGTTCTTTTGTGTACGTACATTTGGAATCATTTGAAACAGTTTTATTAAATCTCATAAAAATCAGAGATGAGACCTTTTCGGAAGTTTAGCCGCATATTCTTATAGCTCTTTTCGAGATCTTTTCATAAATGTATACTTTGTAACAAAGCATCTCCGAGAGGTTCCCGTAGAGAAGCTAAACCGACTAATATTAAGACACATTAAGACTAATATTAAGACCGACTAATATAAGACAATTATTTAAATCGACAGTTGATCCAGCCAATGAAGGCAAAATCAATGGCTAGCCAATGTTCATTTTATATTCTACAATTTGTGTGTGTATGTGTATGTGTGTGTCTGAAATAATTTTTTCTAAAATTTATATTTTTTGAAATATTTCGAAGTTCCGACCTTTTTCGAACACCTTTCCATATGCTGTAATGATGAAACGACCTATTTCCGACCTCAAGTCCATTTGCAAAAAGTAATTCTTAGGATGTCAATCACCCAACAACTTTTCAAAGTTTGTCGGTTATATATACAGTTCATTGGAAAAGTTTTCACCTAAATTTCCTCTAAAATATGCGTTGTAGAAAAAATATTGAATATAAAAATTATAGGATATAAAAATTATTTGAAGGAGATACATGACAGTGAGTTTAAAAATTACAGGTAGCGGTTTTCAAGGATTATTTCAAGATCAATTTTTTTTATTAAGTGAAAAGGGGTATTTTTTATTGCAAAATTTAGAAAAAATTTGGCATAAAATTTTGTATCAAAAACTTTTTGGAACTTACTCTCTTTTTTCATTGAATGATTTCAAAAAAATTTAACATACATGAATATATGCCTTAAAACTTTGTATGAACATAAATGCGTGTGCATGCGAGTGTGTGAGGAAGAGAGTATGAGAAATGAAAAAATGAAAAAAAACAAGAAAAACGATTACAGCTTGTTTTCTCGTTTATGAATAATTTTCAAAATATCCATTATTTTAAATTATATAATATAATAAATTCTTCTTTCGAATTTCTGATATACAATTGATTAAAATCGACTCATCTTCAAAGTTATATTTACCACTAAAAATTTACATTCTTTAGCACACGTTAAACTGTAATCGTTCGTTTTTCCTTCTTCATTTTTTCTTCCTTATACTCCATACCTCACACACTCGCATGCACACGCATATATTGGATGTGAAAAAAAGTTCGTGGCGTTTTTTTTAGTAAAATTCAAGTGTCTTTCTTAGAGTATTAAAATTAATTTATTCAAACCAAATATGGTCATTATTTTCAATAATGTTTCGCCATTTTTAGGGTAGCGCTGTAATCCTATCGCGATAGAATTTCTGTGGTTTCTGGTCGAAAAACTGCCTCAAGTGATTTTCACAGGCCTCTTTTAGTGATTTTCACAAGCCAGCTTTACACTATTAAGAGAGTTCTGCAGAGACCTAAACAAATGATAGTCTGAGGATGCTATGTCAGGACTTTACGGTGGATATGCATCAAAACTTCTCAGCCAAGCTCTCGCAATTTTTACCGACTCATCAAATATGTGTGCGGTCGAGCATTGTCGTGATGGAAGACGACACTCCTACTATTGATCAATTTTGGCCGCTTCCTCTCAATTGCTTCTTGTAATCTCTCCAATTGTTCACAGTAGAGTTCACAGTAGAATTAATTGTTTGGCCGCGCGGTAACAGCTCATAGTGAACGATTCCTTTCCAATCCTATCACACACACACGCACGCACGCACGCACGCACGCACGCACGCACGCACGCACACACGCACACATATCACCTTCTTCGTCGTCAATCCAGGTTTTGTGATTGCTTGCGCCTTCTCTTCTTCCTTTGTCCACGATCTTTTTCGAGTTCGATTGTCGTACGTGATCCATTTTTCATCACCAGTTATCATTCTCTTCAGAAATGGCTCATTTTCATTCCGTTTCAGTAGCGTATCGCAAATGTTAATTCATTCCATCATGTTCTTAACACTCAACTCGTGAGGAAGCCAAACATCGAGCTTCTTTTTGTATCCAGCTTTGTGTAAATGATTTAAAATTTTGTGGTCGATGCCTAGTTCCCTGGCAATCTCCATACTATTCACATGCTTATCACGCTTTTTCCATGATTTCATCGGACTTTTCGGTGATTGGTCGACCGGAACGAGGTTCATCTTTGATATTGAAATTTCCAGTATGAAAGCGAGCGAACCATTTCTGTGCTGTTGATTTTGATAGAGTATCTTTACCGTAAACAGCACAAATTTGT